GGTTTAGAGGGTTTAGAGGGTTTAGAGGGTTTAGAGGGTTTAGAGGGTTTAGAGGGTTTAGAGGGTTTAGAGGGTTTAGAGGGTTTAGAGGGTTTAGAGGGTTTAGAGGGTTTAGAGGGTTTAGAGGGTTTAGAGGGTTTAGTTCAGAGGGTTTAGAGGGTTTAGAGGGTTTAGAGGGTTTAGAGGGTTTAGAGGGTTTAGAGGGTTTAGAGGGTTTAGAGGGTTTAGAGGTTTTAGAGGGTTTAGAGGGTTTAGAGGGTTTAGAGGGTTTAGAGGGTTTAGAGGGTTTAGAGGGTTTAGAGGGTTTAGAGGGTTTAGAGGGTTTAGAGGGTTTAGAGGGTTTAGAGGGTTTAGAGGGTTTAGAGGGTTTAGGGTTTAGGGTCTCGGGCATTTTTTTTTGGTGGGGTATTGGGGGGTTTAGGGTTTAGCTGGGTTTTGAGTCCTGAAACCCTAAACCCTAAACCCTAAACCCTAAACCCTAAAATCCCAAATCCTAAAGCCTAACACCAAAACCCCTTTTGGCTTGGGGTCCCTGACATCCCCCAACGCCGCTGTAGAGAGAGAAGTGCTGGCAGCTGCCCAGTGAACCCAAGGGTTTAGGGTTTGGGGTCTAAGTTTTGGGGTTTGGGGTTTAGGGTTTGGGGTTTAGGGTTTAGAGTTTAGGGTTTCGAGTTGGGAGTGTCGTGGATTGGGGAATGTTCCTCTTGTCATGCGGGTGCCAACCTCAGTTCATGGGTATCTAGACCCAAGAGTAACCTAGGAACAAAAGGGTTTAGGGTTTAGGGTTTAGGGTTTAGGGTTTAGGGTTTGGGGTTTAGGGTTTAGGGTTTAGGGTTTAGGGTTTAAAGTTTAGTACCCTGTTCGGTTTGAAGGGGTGTATAAGGGCAATTTCAGCGTCTACTCCCTCGACTATAAGACCCCAAAACCGTAAACCCTAAACCGTAAACCCGGATTAAACCCTGAACCCTGAACCCTGAACCCTAAACCCTAAAACCCCAAACCCTGAACCCTAAACCCTAAGAAGGCAATAAGGGAATGAGGGAGCCCGGATGCCCAAATCAACCGTGTGTGCAAAGGTGGTTGAGGGTTTACGATATAGGGTTTAGGGCTGAGGATTGCGGGGTTTAGGGTTTAGGGCTTAGGTTTTAGGGTCTAGGGTTTAGGGTTTAGGGTTTAGGGTTTAGGGTTTAGGGTTTAGGGTTTAGGGCTTGGGGTGCAGGACTCCCTCTCCGTTCTCGCTGCCGGGGCGCTGATGGAATCGAACCCGCTCGATGCGGCTCATCCTCCAGGGGCCCTAAACCCTAAACCCTAAACCCTAAACCCCAAACCCCAAACCCCAAACCCTAAACCCTAAACCCTAAACCCCAAACCCTAAACCCTCAACCCTAAACCCTAATTTCTTCACAAAAATTGTTAGAGAATATACCCCCTAAAGCCCTAAACCCCTGGAAAACATGATGCAACTACCCTGAACCTGAACGAGGGTGTACTTGGAGGTTCATGGTACTTAGTATTTAATCATAACTGTACTTCCAGCCCACTTATAAGCCCCTTAAGTGCCCTAATATGGTTATAAGTACAGTTATAAGTACAGTTATAAGTACAGTTATAAGTACAGTTATAAGTACAATTATCATTAGTTACTAAGTACCATGAACCTCCAAGTACACCCTCGTTCAGGTTCAGGGTAGTTGCATCATGTTTTCCAGGGGTTTAGGGCTTTAGGGGGTATATTCTCTAACCATTTTTGTGAAGAAATTAGGGTAGTCCGGGGGGGTTTTGAGGCAGAGGATGGCTTCATGGGCTTTTAGGGTCTTCGGCTTTCAGTCACTCGCGTTGAGGGGGTTTTAGGGTTTTTGGGATTCAAGGATTTAGGGTTTAGGGTTTAGGGCTTAGGGTTTAGGGTTTAGGGTTTAGGGTTTAGGGTTTAGGGTTTAGGGTTTAGGGTTTAGGGTTTAGGGTTTAGGGTTTAGGGTTTAGGGTCTAACCCTAAAGCCCTCAAGCCCTGAGACCCTATCCTCACGTGCACGGCGACCGTCTCCCAGTCGCCCTTGTGAGTGCCGTACTCCTCTTCCATGATAGGCCCCAGATCTATCGTGAGACACGCCGGCTGGTGGCTGTACCTTGGCGTACGGCTCAGGGCTCTTCGGGGTTGAGGGTTTAGGGTTCAGGGCTTAGGGCCCCAAACCCTAAACCCCAAACCCTAAACCCCAAACCCCAAACCCTAAACCCTAAACCCGAAACCCTAAACCCCAAACCCTACACCCCGGCCCTGAACTCTGCTGTTTGACGATATCTCACAGAAACTCGGAAGTGCAGCACCCGCTTTTCACATTGTCACATGTAGAAAGGACCCCTGAGCCCACAAGACGAGCGGAGCACCACTGGCCCCTAAACCCTAAACCCTAAACCCTAAACCCAATAGCCCTAAACCCTAAACCCTAAACCCTAAACCCTACGAGTACGAACCCAAGCACTCCAAGATCTCAGAACCACGAACGTTTGTGGACCGGTTTGACCACTAGATCATCATCTTCTGGGCTAAACCCTAAACCCTGAACCCTAAACCCTAAACCCTAAACCCTAAACCCTAAACCCTAACGCGCCTGGGACTTCGGGGGCATGAAAGACCTTGATGCAAAAAGGCTTCAAAGAACAAACCCAGTGGCCAGATGTGGTACGTGATGACAGTCACGGAGTCCGCGCATTCTTCGTACTGATAGAACCTCGGCGCCCTAAACCCTAAACCCTAAACCGTAACCATAAACCCTAAAACCCTAAGGCCCCTAAGGCTCCCGGGGAGGGGAGTTAGGGCGGAGGGTCTCGGGCTTAGCATAGACGTCATGGCGCTGCGCCTCCACGCGCGAAGGGTGTAGGGTTTAGGGTGTGGAGTTTTGGGTGTAGGGTTTGGGGTTTGGGGTTTAGGGTTTAGGGTTAGGGAAGCTACATGGTCTCTAAGTACGGGCCCTTAAAAGGGGACCCCTATCTACCCCTTATATACCATACACAACCCAAGGGCCTGTACTCCAGAACCCTTTAAAGGAAGGTAAGGGACCATATTAAGGGACCAAATAACTACCCCTAAACCCAAAACCCAAAACCCAAAACTCAAAACCCTAAACCCTAAACCCTAAGATCAAGCCAGGGTTTGGGGTTTCGGGTTTAGGGTTTAGGGCTTAGGGAGTTTAGGGTTTAGGGCTTGGGCTTTGCCACTGCCGTTAGCGCATGCCAAGCTCGTGAAACCCTACATCCTCAGCCCTAAGCTCTCAGCCCCGGCATCTTGCCTGTACCCCAAGGCCCCACAATCGTGACCTGCAGACCCAGCATTTTGGCCACGCACACCAATACCTCCCGCAATGTTTATGCTGACCCTAAGCCCTAAGCCCTAAACCCTAAACCCTAAACCCTAAACCCTAAACCCTAAACGGCCCTAAACCCTGAACCCTGAACCGCGGTGCCTGCACTTTCTTGGCTGCACAAGCTCTTCGGTCCTTAAAGCGGCCTTGCGCATGTCGCTGGAAAGCACCCCTCGAAGGCCCATGGTGCGATTGTACACATGAAAACCTCACGCGGCCGCAGGTCCCAAAGCAGAAGCTTAAGCTACTATTTGCCTACCCTAAACCCTAAACCCTAAACCCTAAACCCCAAACCCCAAACCCTAAACCCTAAACAACCCCCCCCCCCCTAGTAAGTAAACAAAATAAAATCATAAATCCCCATCCCCAGATTGCCCTTATATAAGGAATCCCTATCTCGCCTTCTCTAGAAGAAGATCTTGCTTTTTCGGGGGGGCTCTTAAGGAAATAGTCCTAGGGTTTGGGGTATAGGGTATGGCATGACCTGATGTCTTAAGTTCAGGTTTAGAAGCGGCCTTGAGACCTACAAAACCAATCTGGCCACTTGGACCCGGAGACGTGAGAGAGGACCTGCATCACAAGACATTCACGACCTCACAACGCGGGCCGGGGCAGGATTGCCCCAGAATGCATCAAGCAAGACATCTGTTCTGCTGTCGCCAACTCCTCCACACCGGTAGCAAGGTGGGGCATGACCAGTACCATCATAGTCTCCCTACAAATTTCAGCAAAGCTTCTAGAGAAGATCTGAACCCTAAACCCAGCAACTCTAAACCAGGATGCCCTAAACCCTAAACCCTAAACCCTAAATCCAGGCGCTTCTTCGCCTAAGCACTCAAGATTGTCACAGCGCCGGCTTCGCAGCCCACATCCTGCAGCATGCTCTTGCACGCCTGGGTTGGCCTTTAAACCCTCTGAAAAATAGTTATATATATATATATATATATATATATTATATTTACTTATTTATTTTTATTTAGCTATTTATAGGGCCCCTTATGAACCCAAATAAGGACACTAAAAATTGTCCCAAAATATAGGGTCCCTTATGAACCCAAGAAAGGAAAATGAAAAAAAATGTCCAAAAACCAGCCTCGGCGCCCCGTTAAAGCCTGCAGGGCCCGAAACCACCACCCGGCAGGGCTTGGGGCACATGCCAAGCTCTTTCCCGAGGAGCTCCACGGAGAGTCGCCGGTGAAATACGGTGACCAGAGGGGAGTTCCTTGGCTGACTTCTGCACCCCTCCGAGCAGCTTGTAACTTTTAGGCTCCTTATGGTTGTTTTCTACAATAGCCCGGCTTTAAAGTCCCAAGAGCCAGCCAGAAGCATCAGAAGCTTCGTAGCCCAGAAACCATATTATAATACGGGCACCCTCTTTTGGCTTGTTACGTAAGGGAACCCAGAACCAAAAAAAGGGGTAAAGAGTACCACTGGGCTACCAAGGAAGAAAGCCAAGGCTCGTCAGGCAAGTCAAGTCGGGATCCTTGACATCTGGGAAAGGTGCCGCTCCAGCCTGCGGCTCTGTGAGTAGGAGCATCCAGCTTTGCAACTTTCCGCCTTAGATGCTGAGGTCATAAGCCCCAAAAAAGTGTACACGTTTGGCTCTATAGAGGATTATGGTATCCCAAAAAGTGTAAAGTGTGCTCACTCAGCTACTAAGCCACTGCTACACCAGCCCAGTAGCTCGGAGGTCATGAGAATGTCGTCTGACCGGCATGAGTGTATGAGCCTAATGGGGGATCGGATGGCTGGAGAGGGGCCAAAGCACTTGCCTGCCTGTGTATGGTGTAAGACTTGTTCAGCGACCACGATGCCGGTCCCAGCAAGGATGAGGAGATAGCTGGCAGGGCTGAAGGCAGCTTCATTCAACTCGGATACCAAGCTCGGAACACCTACAGTCCTCATGGGGTGCGAGAGCCAAATTTTGCCGCCGATTGGCTGCTGGCTCAACCATGAAGTTGCCTTGCCATCCCTATAGATTTTGACGAGAAGGTCACAGTGACCTTTTTCCCACTCCTGGGACGTGCTGACTGGCGTGTAGTCACGCTCCAGCCAAGGTAAAGGACCTTCAGCATTGGCACCCAGTGTTGCCAGCAAGGTTGTGTGCCATATCTTGGGCCAGACACTTCTTCCGCGCCCTCGAGGGTTGGGGGTGCCTCGCTTGCGGTCCCTCGAGATGAAGCGGTAGACGGCTGAGTGCTTCGAAACGACAGTCACAGACTCCAGATGCCAGACAGCATAGCTCTCGACTCGACGATCACAAAGGGCATCGGGGAGCGCGCTCGCTATACTCGCCGCTTCGGTTTGGAACTTGCCTTAGCCAGGCGTGCTCGCACAGAGGCACAGTAGCTAGTGGCACCAAAGCACCAAAGAAACCCGAGAGAGGCTTTCAGTTGATCTCTGGAAACTGGTGGCGCAATCATCCTACTGTGTCCTACTACTTGAGGGGCAAGCCGAGGCCAACGAAAGCTAGCCTAGATTAACGCCACTATGGACTAGTCAGTGCACGGCTACAATGCCACCACACTCCCCCACACTCCCCCACACTCCCCCACACTCCCCCACACTCCCCCCACACTCCCCCACACTCCCCCACACTCCCCCACACTCCCCCACACTCCCCCACACTCCCCCACCCTCCACCACACTCACCACACTCCACCACACTCCACCACATTCCGCCACACTCCACCACACTCCACCACACTCCACCACAATCCACCACACTCCACCACACTCCACCACACTCCACCACAGTCCATGGTATAGTTGGAGAAGAGAGACCGCGATCCAGGTCCCAAGAGATATCCAAAATATGCGAAACATGCGATAACAAAAAGACGTACAAACACATGCTCATAGAGACTGGACTCCAGAAACCAACGCTATTGAGTTCCTTGATCGAATGGATAATCATCCCCCCCCCCCTCCCCCCACCCAGCCGACTCCAGATTCGTGTGATAGAAACAATACTGACCTCCATTGTGCAATCGTGAGGGATCAACCGCTCCTCCTGCTCCGACCTAACTATGCTAGCTGTCGTGAGAAGCCTACCCTTCCTGGTTTGGGCTCTAAACCCTGAACCCTGAACCCTAAACCCTAAACCCTAAAAACTAACCCTAAACCCTAAACCCTAAACCCGAAACCCCTGAAAATGCTGAAAACGCCGAGAGATGCTGAGTCGAGACAGCAGCTCGATCTCCAGACGACCATCCTCCGGATCACAGCAAATGCGCTTCACCTGTGTAGGGCTCCAGGGTTTAGGGTTTAGGGTTTAGGGTTTAGGGCTTAGGGTTTAGGGTTTAGGGTTTAGGGTTTAGGGTTTAGGGTTTAGGGTTTAGGGTTTAGGGTTTAGGGTTTAGGGTTTAGGGTTTAGGGTTAGGTTTAGGGTTTAGGGTTTAGGGTTTAGGGTTTAGGGTTTAGGGTTTAGGGTTTAGGGTTTAGGGTTTAGGGTTTAGGGTTTAGGGTTTAGGGTTTAGGGATCAGCATTTCAAGTCCAAGCATTCACTAGTCAAGAAATTACTCCAGAAAAATACCCACCCGTCCAAAGAATCCCACAACATTCAGAACACATTTCACTTATGGCACGACCTTGCCCAGTAAAAAAAATGACCTTGCCCAGTAAGAAAATGACCTTGCCCAGAACAAAATGGCCCTGCCCAGTAACATTTTTACTGGGCAAGGTCATGTTTTTACTGGACAAGGTCATTTTTTACTGGGCAAGGTCGGTTTTTTGGACCGAACGACCTTGCCCAGAAAAAAAATGACCTTGCCCAGTAACTCATTAAAATTCAAGTTATATATGAAAGAGAGGTTTAGGGCTAGGGTTTGGGGTTTAGGGTTTAGGGTTCAGGGTCTAGGGTGTCTAGGGTTTCGGGCGGATGTACGTTCTTTGAAAAAAAGACGCCACGCCCGCCTGATTCTCGAGATTCGTGATTTCCTCGGCTCGCCCCAGGTTGGCGAAGATCTGCGCCAGCGTCATGATGACTTCGAGGTTCCTAAACCATGGTTGGGATAGTACTAAAAACTGAAAAAAAGAACATTCCTTCTTGAAATTGAGTACTATTTCTATTCCTTTATTGAGTTTGAATACCCTCAAACATGTAAAATGTTACCCCATGATGACTTCGAGGTTCGATGGGGCCGCTTTTTGTACTTGAGCCAGTTGCTCCAAGGACTCTTCCCAGAGGCCAGCTTTGTGGAGGAGCTCACCAAACTCCAGCTGCAGTTTCAGACGTCGCTTCTGGCAAGCGTTGCTGACCTGTTCGCGCATCCCGGCTAGGGCTAAATTCCACTTGCTCTCCAGACAAGCTTGCTGGCGGACCCGTGTTTGCCTGGCAACGGCCATGCGCTGCAACATCTCGGGATCATCCAAATTCAGTTTCACCCCCGTGGCGGCTTCAACGATGCGAACACTCTTCTCAGTCTCGTTGATCTTGGTGAATAGCCGCTCCCTCCCGCCGCGCCAGACCAGTGTGCTCGGAGCCGAATCGCATGCCCCGAGGCAGTTGGCGGCATTCACTCTGCAATTCTGAATGCCTTTTGTCAACTCCTCGATCTCGACGAGTACGGCCTCCGACCCCGCCCGGCGGCAGGAGCCTGCTTGGCACACGAGGATGTCAGTGCGAGGAAGCATATGGAAGCATGCAGGGACAGGAGCGACCGACAGCACTACCTGGGCCGGGTCCTTCGCAACAGGACACAAAAGCAGCGGGCACCATTTGCCATGGTGTACTATGGTATGCTGAAGTATACCTTGGTCGGAGATCATAACCCCCAGGGTATAAAGTGTTCAACCATCGTCTACTCTGTATCTAAGCACGCTTCTCCTCAACTCCCAACATCCCAAACCTAGCCTGAAATGTTTTCGCTGTGAGATCTGGGGCTTTTGGAAAGCCCTAAAGCCTTAAAGTCTTAGGGCCGAGCGTGTAGAAGGTTTAGGGCTTAGCCCTACGCCCCGAAACCCCCAAACTTGAGCCTGGACACAGGGGCACCTCCCCTCGCTGCAGCTTCGTGATGTCTGACTCACAGATGATGTCCTTGGCTTTCTATGCAGGGTTCCAAGCGTGGGCCCTTAGTTGGGTCATTGTTCTATACCCCTTAGTGTAATCAAGGGTAAGGGACAATACTAAGCGTCCAAGGGCCTAAACCCTAAACCCTAAACCTTAAACCCTAAACCCTAAACCCTAAACCCTAAACCCTAAACCCTAAACCCTAAACCCTAAACCCTAAACCCTAAACCCTAAACCCAGAGTCTTGGCTTTGTGGTGACGGGGCGCGCGCCCTCAAGCCCCAGCCCCAAAACCCAAAACTTTAGCCCCCCGAACCCTATGTTTAGCCCCTCAGCCTCAACCCTAACCCCTAAAACTCGGCACCTTTACGCGCAGAAGCCCTATAGACACCAAGCCCTAAGCCAAACCCTAAGCCCTAAACCCTGGACCCTAAGCCCTGTAAACCCTAGGCCCTACAACAAGCCTCCCATGCAACCCAGCACTTTCCAAGCGTTATCAGGCTAGGGTTCTTGCTGTTGGTCTGAGGCATGACGTGGCTCTGCTGCGAGTCCGAAACTGAGGGTATAGGCGAGGGTTCAGGGTTTAGGGTGAAGGGTTTAGGGTTTATCGTTTAGGGTTTAGCGTTTAGGGTTTAGGGTTTAGGGTTTAGTTAGGGCTTAGGCCTTATAGCCCTTAGGGCTTAGTGTTCGGCATCCCTGGAAGAACGTACGCAGCAATCCTAAAACCAGCGATCCGCGCCCAGCATTTTCGTGAATAGGGAGAGCCCCTGGAACCCTAAACCCTAGACCTCAACCCTAGCCCTAAACCCTAGCCCTAAACCCTAAACCCTAAACCCGAAACCCGAAGCCCTAAGTTGCGAAAGTTCCAGGCGTCGGTGTTGTTGGCCTTGCGCTGCCAGTAGACGGTCGCCGGATGTCCGGGCAGACATCGAGCCTGCGGCTCCGGGGTTTGGGTTTTGGGGTTTAGGGTTTAGGGTTTAGGGTTTAGGGTTTAGGGTTTAGGGTTTAGGGTATAGGGTATAGGGTTTAGGGTATAGGGTATAGGGTATAGGGTTTAGGGTTTAGGGTTTAGGGTTTAGGGTTTAGGGTTTGGGGTTTAGGGTTTAGGGTTTAGGGTTTAGGGTTTAGGGTTTAGGGCTTAGGGCTTAGGGTTTAGGGTTTAGGGTTTAGGGTTTAGGGTTTAGATTTTAGGGTTTAGGGTTGAGGGTTTAGGGTTTAGGGTTTAGGGTTTAGGGTTGAGGGTTGAGGGTTGAGGGTTGAGGGTTTAGGGTTTAGGGTTTAGGGTTTAGGGTCCGCCGACCCTGGCGGCGTGTTGGATGGGTTTGAGGAGGTGAAAACCTCCCTCTTTCCTCCTTACCCCCCCAGAACGCGGGGGGGGGGGGGGGGGGGGGGGGGGGGGGGGTCGGTGCACAATTTTTTCGTGGAGGACCGCCACCCACACAGCGTAACAGGCGCCCCAACCCCCCCCCCACCCCCCCCCCCCCACCACCCCCCCAGCCCCCACCCCCCCCACCCCCCCCCCCACCCACCCCCGGTTTAGGGTTTAGGGTTTAGGGTTTAGGGTTTAGGGTTGAGGGCTTAGGGTTCAGGGCTTCGAGTTCTGGGCTTTTAAAACTCGGGTTTATCAGCTAAGGGTTTAGGGTTCAGGGCTTCGAGTTTAGTTCGCTTTTAGGGTTTAAGATATAGGGTTTGGGGTTTAGGGTTGGGGGCTCAGGGTTTATAGGGCGGCGACGGGTCCTCCGAAATCGTGTCTTTGTCCAGTCGGAGGACTGGCGCGTATTTCGTCGCCATCTCCTCAGTCAATTATTGGCGCAGATGAAGCCTCCTAAACGCCCGCATCCATTGAGGGCTTGGGGGTTTGGGCCTCAAACCCAAACCCTAAACCCTAACTAAACCCTAAACCCTAAACCCTAAACCCTACAGTTTAGGATCTGGGGGCTTAGCGACGTTAAGGTGCCAACCGGGCACGCGCATGTTCCAGGGAGGGTGGTCCGAGTTGGAAGGTACCTAATGGGCCTCAAGAAGCCTTAGGGAGCAGGAACAGTGGGGAATACAGGGTTTTGGGGTTTAGGGGTTTAGGGTTTAGGGTTTAGGGCTCAGGGTTCGGGAATTAGGGTTTAGGGTTCCCTAAACCCTAAAGTCAAAATACCATTTGCTTAAGAGCCCCCCAAAAAACTTCCTGATCAAGGCAACGTAGGGGTTGTGTTCGTGTATTTCTTTGGGATTCTTGAGCAAATACTAGTAAACTCTACATCCTAAACTGTAGGATTTCAGGTTTCGGGTGCTAGGGTTTCCGCTTGAAGATGCACCCGCGTCCTCAAATCCGTACGGTCACGTCCCTCAAACTCCCACCCACAACCCTAAACCTCACTAAGCCCTAAGCCCTATAAACCCTATAAGCCCTAAGCCCTGAGCCCTAAGCCCTAAGCCCTAAGCCCTAGGCCCTAGGCCCTAGGCCCTAAACCTCCTTGAACCCTTCGTGGAGAACACTCCCCAAAGTAAAACATAGCTATGCTCAACAGAGTATATACATGCATGTTGTGACATAGATTGATACTGCAATATATTGTATGATGGTAGACCATCGTAGAGGCGGGGGGGAATGTTTGCGGGAGGGGATTCATTATAAGGAGTGGCCCTCAAAATTCTCTGCAACAATACTCCTAAATATAACCCGCTGAAACCCAGTTGTAAGGGAAGGCCTAACTATCCCCGAAACCCTACCCCTAAACCCTAAACCCTAAACCCTAAACCCTAAACCCTAAACCCTAAACCCTAAACCCTAAACCCTGAACCCCAAACCCTAAACCGATTTGGCAGTCCCAGGCACATGCTGGCAGTCGACATTCGTCCCACAGCCTCAGTAGCCCGGCAACCACATTGTGATAAGGGCACCCTTTTTTTGGGGTTTAGGGCTAAGGGTTAAGGGTTAAGGGTTAAGGGTTTAGGGTTTAGGGTTTAGGGTTTAGGGTTTAGGGTTTAGGGTTTAGGGTTACTTTATAAGGGAACCCCAGAATGCAAAAGAAGGGCAAAAGGGTACCACTGGGCTACCATGCAGCCCGCGGCGGCCACCCAGAGCAGGGCCCACGCCGCACTCTTCACCATGGCAAGCGAGGTGCCCCGAGGGGTGCAAAGCGACTCGTTTTTTGTTTTTTTGTTTTTTTGTGTTTTTTTTGTTGGGGTGGGTCTCGCTTTTTCTTTTTTTTGGGTGGGTTGGTCTTTCTTGGTGACTCCTTTTGGGCACCTGGGGGTTCAGAAGCCCCAAAGCGGAAACCCCTGAACCCCTAAACCCTAAACCCTAAACCCTAAACCCTAAACCCTAAACCCTAAACCCTAAACCGCAAGGGCTTTTTCGAGGGGGGGGGGGGGGGTTAGGACCTCCGCGAACTCACCCTTAGTCAGCGGGACCTATGGCCCTCTGTGGCAAAAACGCCGCGGACGCAAGCCCGCGGAGGGCTCCTTGCAAAGGGGTTCAGGGTTTAGGGTTTAGGCCTTAGGGTTTAGGATTAGGGTTTAGGGTTTAGGATTTAGGGTTTAGGGTTTAGGGTTTAGGGTTGAGGGTTGAGGGTTGAGGGTTGAGGGTTTAGGGTTTAGGGTCTAGGGTTTAGGGTGTAGCCCTACCCCCCGGAAATGTACAAGTCCACTCAAAGGTGCCCGAAACCCCAGAACAAGGAATAGACCTGAGTATACTCCTTAATCTTTAGCTTCGTCTGGAAATGGAGCGCTGAATCCCAAGACCACCCGGTCTGACGCAAAGAAAGGAACCTCAAACCCCAAAGCCTACGCCCTATGCCGTAAAACCTGAAGCCTTAACCCTCAACAGTAAATAAACCTCTACACTCTGAACCCTAAACTCTAAACCCACAATCCTAGACCCTAAACCCACAATCCTAGACCCTAAACCCTAAACCCTAGAACCTAGACCCTAAACCCTAAACCCTAAACCCTTAACCCTAAACCCTAAACCCTAAACCCTAAACCCTAAACCAACCTTCCTTACTTTCTAGCCGGTTTTGGAGTTGCCAGACCAGCCTTGATCTTCTCGGGTTCCTTGGGAAGGAAGGATGTGCCCAGGGAGTAGTCGCCTCCAGGGTCGAGGGTTTAGGGCTTAGGCTTTAGGGGTTATGGGTTTAGGGTTGAGGGTTGAGAGTTGAGGGTTTAGGGTCTAGGGTTTCGGGTTCAGGGTTCAGGGTTCAGGGTTCAGGGTTCAGGGTTTAGGGTTTAGGGTTTAGGGTTTAGGGTTTAGGGTTCAGGCCTCACTTTCAGGGGACTTACCTGTTTGTTGCGGTTTGTGATTGGGGTAGATTTGGGGATCTAGAGCCCCCAAACCAGAAGTACGTGGGCTAGACTAAACCCAAAACCTTAACCCTATAATCCCTAACCCCTAACATCCAGAAGCCCTAACGCCGCAATAACCCTAAACCCTAAACCCTAAAGCCCCCCCCCCCCGCAGACCCTTAGCCTTCTTCCGAGAAACTTTCAAACTCCTTGAAGGAGTATTCCTTAAAAGAGACTTAACCCTAAACCCTATACCCTAAACCCTAAACCCTGAACCCTACACCCCATTCCATAGTTTCAGGGTGGGAGGTTCCTAAACCCTAAACCCTAAACCCTAAACCCTAAAC